GATGTATCTTCATTTGAACAGTTTGACTGTTCTGCTCCTAATGGAGATATTAGTATGCATCTGTCTTCATGTGTAAACAAATTCTTCTCTTGAAACAACTCTGACTTTCCTCCTGCTTTTGTAAACCACAGTCCATTTAGCAGAAATTGGATTACCTTTTAAAAACTCAACCTAAGACCCGACTGACCTGGCTACAACTCTTTAAAATTTGCACATGTGAACAGTGCCCCCAATTCACTTAACCCAAGACCTGCTTGGCCCCTTACCATCATCTTCACACTCTTCCAGAGGCTTCTGCTGCTTGTTCAGGCACCGAGGGTCTAACCAAGATGTTGTTTTCGTATTATGGCTGCAATCCAGAAACAAAAATAAGGAATTTGTTTGAAAAAAACAAACCAAAAAAAAGCAAGAAGCCCATGATGGAATTACACAGTCTTGAATATTTCTTCCTTAACCACAACAAAGATACTTTCTAACAGCAAATCCAAACCAGATGACGGCCTGAGTTTAGAATTATAAAATTGCTTGGGGAGGGTCTTAGGTAGGCTTTTTACTTACCTAACATATGATTATTCAATTACTGAAAGCTTAAAAAGTAATACCAGTTTCATTTTTGAAAAATGAGTTGCAAATGATACCCCTTGCCTATACCATCTACCCTTGTCTAGATTATTTTAGACTTCGCATTTGTCACAGAGAAAACTTCAATTTATTTTAAATTTAACTATGATTTGAATCTTGGATGCTGAAACTCACAAAGAGGGCTGCTATTTCATTCATTATATTACATAAGAATTCTCCTGACAGCATGAAACTACCTCAATTCACATAAATGACTCAAAACTGCCAATATACATCATTAAATCACAGTGTCCTAAATTATGCTTTGGACATAATGATGGCAGCCCCCAATTACTCGTCATAAATAGAATCTGGGCCGAGGATAAGCTTGGAGAGGCTAAACATGTCACTCAACTGCCTTCTAAGGGGTATAGTTCAATTCTAGATGAAGTATTTCAACAGATGGTGACTGGGGCCCTGCAGATCTGAAAGTATACAGACACATTCCCAAAGATATCGTCATTCAATCATGTTAGAAATGTCACCAGAATGGCTGGAAGCATTCAGCCTTTGTGCTTCCCAAAGTAGTGGCTGGGACAAAGTTCTGCTTGAGCCCCCAGGGCACTATGCAGCTAAGGGGGTGCGGCAAACAACTCCAGTCCAGTAGTTTTGGCTACAAACTAGACATGAAAACAAGAAATTTTTAAAAAATTAAGTTTAGGCAGTAACTTAAAAGTTTGTTTGAATTGTGACATTTCGGTTGTAAATTTGGGAGTTGGCAGGGCAGAGGGGTTGCCAAAGTTCTTTATTTTTGATTCAAATCTTACTAATTGTTAAAAAAAAAACTACATGGCTTAAGAGAAAAATAGAATCTGCAAATGTAAACACGTCATATCAACTGTGTTAAAATAAAAATTACAAAAGGTAATATAGCAACCACCACCATCACCACCACCAATCCTACTTAATGTGACCACATATGACTGCCAGAATCTATTCTTTTACATGTTAAAATTTATTTAATCCTTACAATAACCCTATGAGAGAAGTATTATTAGCATTACAATTATTGCTTCCCATATTACAAATGAGAAAATTGATAACAGAAAGGTAAAGCAATTTGCCTAAGGACACCCTGCTGAAACATCACAGAACTGGGAATTAAACCCAGAGAGTTTTGCGCTGGAATCTATAGTCTGCACTATTCCTATGCAGTAAGATAGTAACAAGAATCATTGTTAGGAGAGTAGATTATGCAGGATTAAGAAAAAAACTGTGTTTGAAACAAAAATAATTGTAGATTCACATTCAGTTAAAAGAAAGAATAGAGAGATCCCACACGCCCTTTACCTAGAACCCATCAATAACAACATCTTTCAAAACTACAGTATACTGTGACAACTAGGATACTGATACTGACACAGTCAAGATACAAAACATTTTAATCATCACCGGGGTCCCTCATGTTGCCCTTTTATAGTCACATCTGGTTCCCTTCCAACCATTCCCTCCAACCCTCTTCTTAATCCCTGGTAACTATGAATCTGTCCTCTATTTCTATAATTTTGTCATTTCAAGAAGGTTATATAGCACTGGGCCTGGTGGTAAGTGCCTGTAACCCCAGCACTTTGGAATGTCAAGCCAGGCAGCTTGCTTGAGCTCAGGAGTTCAAAACCAGCCTGGGCAATGTGATTAAATGCCATCTCTACGAAAAAATACAAAAAAAATTTAGCTAGGTGTGGCGGCACACACTAGCCAGGTGTGGTGGTGTGCACCTGTGGTCCTCGCTACTGGAGAGGCTGAGGTAGGAGGATCACCTGAGCCCAGGAGGCAGAGGTAGCAGTGAGAAGAGATTGTGCCACTGCACTCTAGCCTGGGTGACAGAGTGAGACGCTGTCTCAAAATAAAATAAAAATAAAAATAATTTAAAAAAGAATGTTTTATAAATGGAATCATTATATATCGTATTTTATGATTGGCTTTTTCACTCAGCATAATTCTCATCAAGATTGCTATATATATCAATAATCAATTATTTTTTATTGCTGAGTAGTATTCCATGGAATGAATGTATCACAGTCTGTCTAACCACTCAAAGACATCTGGATCATTTCTAGTTTTTGGCTATTTTGACAAATGTACTATAACATTCATGTACATGCTTTTGTGTGAATTTATGTTGTTCACTTCTCTGGGATAAATGATCATGTGCGCCATTGCCGAATGGTATGAGCTGCACGCTTAGTTTGTTACGAACTGTTTTCTAGAATGCCAGACGATCCCACCAGCAATGGATGTGAGATCCAGTTTCACTGAATTTTTACTATCACTTAGTGTTGTCACTATTTTTTACTTTAGCCATCTTAATAAGCAAATGATATCTCATTGTGGTTTTCATTTCCATTTCCCCAGAGCTAATGGGGCTGAACTAATTTTTTCATGTACATCTCTTCCTTCTATATACCCTTTTCAGTGAAATGTCTGTCTCTCTCTCCCTGTCTTCAGTTCACATTCTAACTGAATGGTTTGATTTTTTTTTCACTCCGGAGTTTTGAGAGTCCTTTGTATATTCTACATACCAGTCCTTTTTTAGATGTGGAGTCTGTAAATATTTTCTCTGTAGTTTGTCCTTCCATCCTCTATCAGGCTCTTTCACAAATCAAAAACTTTTCATTTTAATGATGTCGAATTTATCATTTTTTCTTTCTCAGGGATCTTGCTTTTGATGTCTCTTTGCCTAGTCCTGTATTTCAAAAATTTTCTGGTTTTCTGTTTCCCTAAATGTTTTATTGCCTTATGTTTCACATTTCAGTCTCTGATTTATTCGGGGTTAATTTTTTTGTACGAAGTGTGGGGTTTAGGTGGAGGTGAGGTTACATGCCTCTGGTCATCCACTTGCTCCTGGACCATTTACTGAAGAGGCTATCTGCCCTCCATTGGATTGCTTTCAAATTGAATTGCTTTTGTCAAAAATCAGTTGGGCACACTTGTGGATCTACTTCCGGGTTCTACCTTCTGTTCCATTAAGTTATGAGTCTATTCCTTCACCAACACCACACAGTCTTTATTATTGTGACTATATAATAAAGCCACAATAATGTAAATTAGTACATTTGATATCAAGCAGACTAATTACTATGACTTCATTCTTCCTTTTCATAATTGTTTTAGCTATTCTATTTCCTTTGCCTTTCTATTTATATTTTAGAATAAACTTGTCTGTGTCTATAAAAAGACTGAGATTTTAACAGAAATTTAACAGATTTAACAGAAATTACATAAAACCTGTATATCCATTTGGGGAGTACTGATATCTCTATAAATTCTGAGTCTTCCTGTCTGTCCATGAGACATTGTCTCAAAATAAAATAAAAATAAAAATAAAAACAATTTTAAAAAGAATGTTATATAAATGGAATTGTATGTAATACTTTATGATTGGCTCTTTCACTCAGCATAATTTTCATCAAGATTGCTGTATATATCAATAATCAATTCTTTTTATTGCTGGGTAGTATTCCATGGAATGAATATATCACAGCCTGTCTAACCAAAGACATCTGGATCATTTCTAGTTTTTGGCTATGTGGACAAATTTACTATAAAAATTCATGTATATGTTTAAGTACGTCTCTCCATTTATAAGGAACTTCTTTGACTTCTTTCATTGGCATTTTATAGTTTACAGCATATAAGATCCAATATACATTTTGTTAGATTGACATCTGTATTATTTTTTTGAGCAACTTTATATTTTATTTTTGATTTTGGTGACCAGGTATTCATTGCTAGTATGTAGACACACACTTGCTATTTATTAAATTTTAAATTTTTGTGGGTATATGGTAGGTGCATATATTTATGAGGTATAGAAGATATTTTGATACAGACATATAATGTATAATGATCACATCAGGGTAAATGAAGTGACCACCTCCCTCAAGCATTTATTCTCTGTGTCATTTAATTATTTAATTATTTTTAAATGTACAATTACATTATTGATTACAGTCACCCTGCTGTGCTATCAAACACTAGATCTTATTCATTCTTTCTATTTTTTTTTGTAGCCATTAACCATCTCCACTTCCCCCTTACCACCACCCCACCACCCGTCCCAGCCTCTGGTAACCATCATTCTACTCTATCTCCATGAGTTCAATTGTTTTAATTTTTAGCTCCCACAAATAAGTGAGAACATGTGAAGCTTGCCTTTCTGTGCCCGGCTTATTTTACTTAACATAATGACCTCCAATTCCACATAGGTTGTTGCAAATGACTGGTTCTCATTCTTTTTTATGGCAGAACAGTACTCCACCGGGTATATGGACTCCATTTTCTTTATCCATTTATCTGTTGATGAACATTTAGGTTGTTTCCAAATCATGACTATGATGAACAGTCCTGCAATAAACATGGGAGTGCAGATATCTCTTCAATGTACTGATTTCCTTTCTTTTAGGTATATACCTAGCAATGGATTGCTGGATCATGTGATAGCTCTATTTTTACAGCTTTTTTGTTTGTTTTCTATTTCTTTTTGAGGAACCTCCAAACTGTTTCCCATAGTGGTTATACTAATTTACATTCCCTCTAACAGTGTGAGAAGGTTTCCTTTTCTCCACATGCTCGCCAGCATTGGTTATTGCCCGTCTTTTGGATAAAACCCATTTTAACTGGGGTAAGATAACTCACTGTAGTTTTGATTTGCATTTCTCTGATGATCAGTGATGTTGAGCACCTTTTCACATATCTATCTGCCATCTGGAGTCTTCTTTTGAGAAACGT